CTGCGTTAGACAGCTACAAAATGTTAATTTATATGGAAATGTCACAGTTTCCTTATCAACGTGTTATTTGATGTTGTACTTTATTTGTGTTTAAAAGGCCTGAAGTGTCATCAACAACTGTAGAGTATGAAATTGAGCGGGAGGTGGAAAGATAATGGGTAAGAGGACAGGCAGAGATGGAAACAGAGGACTGTTTGTTTTTATTTTTTCTGTCATCTCTACAGCAGGGGTCTGACTAATAATTACCTGCTACTTAAGAGATCAGAACCATTTCCACCATGCATGTGGCCTGTTACTCGTGTGAACAGTTTAGTTGATTACACAACAGTAAATCTGGAGCAGGTAGCGACAGGTCTGTACCATTACTATTTGAGCTATATCACGTTTGTTGAACATTCGAAAAACACAAATGTCCTACACCCACAGCATGTTCTCTTCAAAGTAACAGTGACATCAGGTTTCAATTAAGTAATATTGCATTTAAATTTAAATTTAGATTTGGAATAGAATAAATATGGATTTGAAACATTTGTGACATAAACTAAAATACTGAACAAATTCAAATTTGACCTGATGATGGCGCCAGATGAAAAAACAAGCAGTCACCAACGTCTTTACAATTTATCTGGGGCTTGAATAAAGTATATAGCTTGTGGGGTTTATAGCTTATGAATTTATAGCTTGAATTGTTGTGGAGACATTTTCTTTCTATACAGACAGTCCATCTAATAGGTGTAGCAATATTTCAGTCTGGACCAAAGGAGTGGCCAAGAGGTTCGTTGTTACGGGGTTGCAATGTTAGTGTGGCTAAAAACAAAGCTGGAAAGGATTTATGTGTGAGAGAATCAGTAGACTGACAGTGTATTAAGATAAATGTTAGCAATGTAGGTTTTGTTTATATGCTCTTAATTTTATATGTCAACAGGCTTTGATATTTTTATGAAACAAAACAGACATTATCCATCTTATTTTGCTTCATGACAGAGAGAGCCCCTTGGCAAGAATAAAATGGGAGGTTGTTGACTACTTTCCTTCACTTTTAGTTATATTAGTCATGCTCCTTATCTCACCCGCAGATCACACTGGAAAGGTGGAAATTAGGCAAACTGTGAGGGAGGGGGTGGTGAATGTGGCTATTTCAGTCTTCCAGTGTTAGAAAAAATAGAGTTTTCATGTCTCATGATACAAGGATGCTTCACAGCTGCAGAATATATATATACTAACATATTGTTTATGAGCATTCAATTGGCTGCCATTACATGATAAATATAGTGTGTTTGTGTGCTGCTTTCACTGTGTCTGTGGCAGGGCTGTTGCATTGGATTGCATTAGTGTGTTGTGTCCTCTCTTGTCTGACTGTAGTATTTTCTGTACATACAGCAGGCACTGCTAAACTCTATTTGTATTATGTTATTTTTAATCACAAATACACTCGGATTGTGCACAAACAATAAGAACTGATGATAAAGGATTAGTATCGCTTGCGTTTTGTATACTTTGTGATTGCCACACATTATATATTCTTTTTCATAATTAACATTTTAATATTTTTATGACTCCCAAACTTCTCTATCATTATTATTTACCGCTGCAGTGTCCCAATATTCCCAAAGGTACCATTAAAGTTTCATTTTGCCTGATCTCATGTGTAAGGTAAACAGACTCATTAAGCGGGTTGTGATCACATTTGAGCAGTGCTACAATGAAGGTGACACATTGCAGAAGCATGTCACACCCAGCATGGGGAAATCATCTCTACCTCCGGGGAGATGCGGCTGGCTGCTGCATCACTGTGGCTACAGGTGCAACAGAAGCTGCTGCTGCTGCACACACTCACGTGCTCACGCCTACATATTTTCAAAATCAAGGACTGGGTTATATCTGCATACCTCCCTTTGACTCTTTGGAATTTGATGTTGAAGCTTTGAGCAGATCCCTTGCACATTTAAGTGCTTATCATAAATGGTTACATTGGGTTTTCCCTCTGTAGCTTCAGGTAGGTAAATGCTTGAATAAAAACTACAATAAACATGATCAGAGATGGTAATTAATTGAAAAGACATGCAGTGTGTGGTATGAAACCACCGTCTTGAAACACTGCTGCTCTCTTGTGGCAGAGCCTCCCGGTTAAAACTAGCAGCTGCACACCCACAGCACTTTGCTCCGTCAGTAATGTTAACTGTTACTGTGATGCTTCTCCACCCAAAAACAACAACACATACTGTAGATTTGGGATTTATTTATTTTTATACAAATAGGGTTTCCCCTCTATGATGAAAGAGCCCATCCTCTCGTAGAATCAGTTCAGCTCAGTGAAAACTGTAAGAAGCTGCGGTGCAGAGAAACACAGCGAACCCTGTGGACTGAGGTGAACTTTCCAAAGATCAACTTGTCACAGTGACTCAGGAAACATCCCTGAGGTGAGCTGTGGGTGACAGCTGCTGTCGCTCCACTGGCACAGGTAAATGCCAGAAGCCCCACTTGGAAACACTGGCTTTCTGACACAAACAAACACACACACACACACACACACACACACACACACGCACACACACCTCTGTGTCTTAAAAGAAACTAAAAGGAATACAAGCAGGCTTTGCATTACTCACACTGTAGCCACAAAGAAAGAGACAAATGACAGAAATGTTTACAGATACATACACACAAAAATAAAGATATTCACACACAAAAGGACACGAGATAATCGAGAGGTTTAGATAGGCCACAGTTCTTCACTGTAATTGTTGACCATAAACAGAACAGTAATGGTGGTACTTTGTTTTTCTTCCTGCATAATGGATAAAGCTGTTGTGACACAGCAGCGTAATATAGTATTATTACTGCTTGAAAGACTAAATTTCTTCCATTACTGTAACAATGGTGATTGAGTATTTAAATATGCTGAAAATGAAGATCTCTGTAGAGTTCTGCAAAGCCATTTAACAGAAATCTGTTGTGCAGTTCATCTTTATCTCTTGTCTGAGTGCTCTGTTTATCTGCATGCACTCTAATGTGTCTAAATGTGTAGTATTATGAATCCATTGTATGTGGTGGTTGAATATAAAGTAGATGTTGGTATCTGGTGTGTTACATTTGCTTTTTCCTTTTTGTGGATTTTTTATTATGTTGACATATTATATAATGAGAAGAGGCACAAATGATGCAACACTCATGTGCACGCACACACACAGACCTCTTGATCTTCTATGAGAGGTAAAGATTTGAGGCAGAGTGGAGTGACTCTGTTGAGTCAGTGTTGAGTAGAAGCACAATACTGATTTTGTGCATTGATCCTTCTCTCATCTGCTCTTATTGGTCTCCAATAGTCCGATAAATGATCTTGGTTTAGACAATAGGTTAGACACAAATATCTACTCTCACTTGAATGAATTCAGCAGCTGCTTTATTCCCTCTGCTGTAGAGTTTTCTCTGAGGGAGTTTGAAGTACAGTGAATTGAAAAAAAAAAAGAAAAAGACATCCAGTATTGTTGTAAAGTGGCTGTTTCATCATCGAGGTTTCGAGCCGCAGTACTGAGCAGGTCCACCAGGTGTCTGTAGAGTAATAGGGATGTTACCAGAACCAGATCTGAAATTAACAAAGCAGATTGATTTCCCTTGGCCTGTTCCTGCTCTTCATACTTTGAATAATAGGTGACAGCACTGTGGCAGTGTCTGTCACCTGCCCACTGCTGTGCTGTCCTAATTGCATTTGTCACACAAACACACACACACACACACACACACACACACACACACACACACACACACACCCCTCCTTGCTAAAAGCAACAGCAGCAGGCTTGAATACAGCAGTGTTAGTCACGCTGTCACCATGTCGCCAGCAGCCAGAGGAAGCACAGTGGCATCAGTATCAGAAGACCAAACATACTGTATGTGAACATTAGACACACACATTACACATAGATTACAGGTACAATAACTTGTACAGACAACACGTGAACGCCAGGTCATGTGCACATAGACACGTGCTCATGTACGCTACTGTAAAAGCCACAGTTCGGTTCATCACTCACGTGTTCTGTTTTGAGTTTCATGACCACACTTCCCATGGGCTGTTAACATTTGTTATGAGAAGACCTTGACTTGTAGGAGTAGCTCTTAAAAACCACCCGGTCACACTTGTTGCTTTAGCAGATATATGACAACCACTTAAACATGTATGCATGTAAGCAGACCAATTTAGCTGTGTCCATGCTGCCTTTTTAGCCCATGATACAGTACCTCACTATTTTGTTGGTAGCATTATTCAATTATGTATAATTTTGTGTCATGTAAAATCTGAAAGTCACCTATTAGTGTTGGCCTGGCTATCTTCCCAAACTAAAGACATTTAACACTGCTCCCCGCATAAGTCATATCTTTTACATGGTAACCAGACATCTGTGGATCAAAAAAACAAACAAACAAAAAAAGCAAAAACAAGAAAAAAGGAAGACGAGAAAAGAAAATGACGTTAAGACAATTACAAAAACAGACAGAAGTTAGGTGTTGACAATTCAACATTAACTGAATGTGCACTCTTCATCTAGAAATTATGTTCCATTCAAGTGAATAGGGAAGTGGTATCAGACATTTGGACCCCACTGTATGTCAGAAATCAAACAGTGGTGGTTGTAAACCTAAATGAGCGAAAAGGTAAAATTGAAATTGAATTGAAATGAAAGTAACTAGAAATATCACCAAATGTTTGTCTCTTTGTCCAACCGTTGGTTTGTCCATCACTTTACATTCAGGCAGAAATTACACTTTGACTCACACTATAGATACTTTAGATTAAGTGCATCTCTGCTGCTGGACTAAATAATGAATTATGTGTGAAGCCTTTTAATGAGCAGACCAGAGACAACATGTTTAACACTGTCCACATTTCTCCCTGGGCAGCTCCACCTATAGTTATGCTGCTGACGTTTTTATGGATGATAATGATTAACAAACATGATATATCTCTGACTAACCATATGTTGTTCTGTGTCTGACAGTAAAGGGGAGATGACAGCTATCGAGACAGAGCTACTGAGGGACTACAGGTTTGGACAACAGCAGCTGATAGAGATCTGGGGACAAGCATGCGCCCTCGCCATCACCAGGGTCTGTACAACTTCTGTCTTCCAGACCTACTTCGTTCTTAGTTCTTCTCTGTCTTTATTTGTCCTTGGCTTTGTATCCCTACTGTACTGTAAGTATGAAGTAGAACACAGCATGAGGCAAACTCTTTTCCTGTTTCAAAAGTCATTCATAATCTCTATCCTTCCATATTTGTGTGGTCTGATCCAATCCCATACTATCACTATAAATCAACGTGGAGACAAATAACATAATTCCAGTACCTTTATACAGCAGTTTTGTTTTATTGTGAAATGAATCCCTGCCTGAATGTGCTGTTACGCCTCCAAAGCTCTTTTCTTTGGACCATTAAACCGGCGGCACCGAGCACTGAGCAGTGGTTGCCATTTACTGTGCTGTGTGTGTGTGTGTGTGTGTTTGTGTGTGCATTTTAGTGTGTGTTAAGCTCTACTCCTTCTGTACAGTAACACCAGCAATTCCAATTTATTTTTCATATATTTTGTCATATGTTTTCCGTGAGTTAAACTGTTTAATCTTTTCTTCTGCTCCTGTGTGTTTTTATTGCAAATGAAAAAGCAAAGTTCAACAGTACAAACATTTAGTAATTGTTTGAAAATGTCACACAGCTTTTTTTAAATTAGTCCTTTCACCCATCATGTAGGATTAACACAAATTCAATCAATCCTTTTCTTTGAGAGAGCTTGCAATTTTTCCGGATCCACATGATGTTTTTGAAAATAAAAAAATTGCCAAATCAAAGGAAGTCATGCAAATTTTTCCAATTATGTCGCTTTTCTGCATAAAACCAGCCAATACAAACCCACTGTTACAAGCTCGAGTCAAATAAAATCAAACTGTGGCCTCAATCAACCCACTCCTGTGCAAATCCGTTTAATAGCCTACATTGTATATCACTCAACAAACCATTTCTAAAGGGTTTTTCTTTTTTGTTTAGCAAAGCTGCTGCACAGTATGTGTCTGCATCAGTAATCATCACAAAACCAAGAGAGATCCTGGTGCGACTGTTCGATTTTAAAAAAGGGCAATAAGTCACAGCTGCTGCTACTTACACTTTCCTAATTTGCATTAACTCCCATACAAAATGCCTGATCATTATGTGGAGGAAATGTTCTAACTTTCTGTGACATTTACTTACAAACATTTGAGTGTCTCACCTCGGGGCAGAACACCTGAACTCACTCTGCCTCACTCAGTTCCCCTCAACCACCTCCAGTCCAGAACCACAGCTCCTCTTCTCTGGTGTGACTGTGTGTGTGTATGTGTGTGTGTGCACACATGTGGTTCCCTTTGACTAGACCACTGGTTTGGTTTAGTGCCATGCTGGTTTCCTTAGAGGGCTCTTCAACAGGCTGTGATGAATAAGAGTATGAACAATAAGACACACGAAACCTTGTGTTGCTGTCAAGAAGAGGGATGAAGAGGAAAAGGGAAAGAGACAAAGACATAGAGAAACACCCAGGAGTGGAAACACAAATGTGTTAAAAAACACACTGATAAAGTGGTCACAGCAGTTTGATGAGATACCTTTAACATCCAGCTTCAGAAAAAGCAAAGAACACAGCCAGGCAACAAACATAAGGAACACTTTATTTTACAATGCAAATGTTTTTAAATACATCCAAACACCAACATAAGGTCAATGATTTAAAGTTTGCTCAAGAACAAGGAAAATCTAGTTGATTCGTGGCACATTTGATAGAATAAGAGTAATATATCAATGGCCTGTTCTCTTTAAAGCTGCATTAATTAATATTTTTTAGTTAACAATTCACAAAATCAGCATGTGTAATGTGCAAGGTGCTGCCTGTAATTACAAACCCACTGCGAATTGTTACCCAACTCTGCTGTTCCTCTCAGGTAGACGGAGCTTTTGAGCGTCTTCCAGCTCATAGTTTCCCGATGCACAACTTTACTGTTTTGTTTCAGTTTCTCATCAACTCCATTCCAGCTGTAGCAGGCAACTGTTTTAAGTGAGATAGCTCTAAAATCAGACTGTGTGCCACCTACTCAGCAAAAAGAACAGACAGACAAAGTTAGCAACTAGCTAATTGAACGTTTAGCAACTAAAAATCCAGATACTTCCCTCAGAGTTTGGAGGAGACCAAGCTGGAGCTAAAAAGAGTAAGTATTGCTTTGTGTCTGTTGAATGCATGTGCAATAACATGTGCATCATATTAATTTAATAAAGTGTTAATATGATGATGTTGTGATTACAGCTTGTTGCGCTACAGCCAAAACAAAAACAAAAACAAAAACAAAAACAAAAACAAACAAAAAAACAATTAATGCCGGTTTGCTAGTGTCTGTTTCAGTGTGACATATTAGTCATTACTGCTTTCATGCTTGGAGCTGATTTTATTATTTCAACTGGTTTGGTTTTATGGGAATTCTTATGAATAGTCGTAAATGTTTACGTTCATAAATGTTTATCTTAAGAAAGCAATTACATCCTTGGGGGGTGGGGGTGGGGGTGACAGACAGACAAAACAGCAACAGTTTTAAGAGTGTGAAACAGAAAACGAGGAACATGTGAAAGAAAAAGAAAAAAAAGAAATAAAACTTGAGACAGCCAGAATGGCAGCATCACTCAGAAGTAGAGACTTTGTGTTCTCCCCTCAGAGTGTGTGATTAAACCCACCACATCCACTTCCCCTCTATTATCATCAGCCGCTGCTGGCCCCACGCCTGGCCCTCCACCACCAGCATAGCCTTACTAGACAAACATGGCCTGGACGCCCTGGATCGTTGCTGCCCACAGCCGCCAGCAGCACGCTACCGCTTACATGACATCACTGCTATTTAAGGGAAATTACAGTAGAAGGAGATGCAGACAGTCTGATTTCACTGATTTCACTGCAGGCCTACTGCTACTGGCTTCCACATATACCACCAAACAAGCACAGGCTCAGTCACACACACACACACACACACACACACACACACACACACACACACACACACACACACACACACACACACACACACACACACACACACACACACACACACCTCTGGTTGCCAGACAGGGTTTAGGTTTTCTGTAAGTAATCCTTCTACTGTTCCAGCTGCCACAGCCACCAGGTCCAGACTGTGTGTGTGTGTGTGTGTGTGTGTGTGTGTGTGTGTGTGTGTGTGTGTGTGTGTGTGTGTGTGTTCCTGTATCAGTCTGATGCTTTTCATCACCTGAGTGGAGACAGGAGACATTTTTGTTACCACACAGCAATAAATTAGCCTATAGCTTACAGGAGCACCTGGACTTCAGTTTGTTCTTCTCATACAATATTAAAGGTAGTATTTTTCTGCATATGTGAGTATATTTGTGTTTTTAGGACCCTGATCATGTTTTCTCAGGCTCAGTGTGTGTTTCAGATTGATTGGAGCTGAAGGCACATGTGTCTTTAACATTTATTTCAAAGGGGTATTCCCTTAGAGACCTAAGTGCAATCAAGACAGCTATATTTTTTAGGTGTGTGTGTGTTCGAGTGTGTGTGTGTGTGTGCGTGTGTGTGTGTGTGAGGGGGGTCCTAGCAGTGCTCTGCTCTAGACCCTTCACTCTTCCGACCTCTCTGCTAATTGGAGCCCCTCCTAAGGGTTCCTCCCAATGTTAAGCTATTGATAACAAATATGTATGGCCTCTTCTGTACTGTGGTTTTAAGTTAGAACTATGGATTCATAGAAAACATGTTTTATTTTCAAAAGTTGTATCAGTTCTCTGCGGGACTTGAATGTCATAATATGTTCTGTCAGGAAAACTAGAGCAAACAAAAAGAAAATTTCAGAAGTTGTGCAGGAGAGCAGATGAAAAGAAGCAACCAGATCAGAAACCTGCTCAACAGATGCAATAAACCATCTGTCTGCACTTGTAGAAATCTACATGTCAAAAATATCATAAATATCTCAAACACTGGAAAACATTTGAACAACTTTATGAGTTTATAGAGTTTTATTTACAAGCTTATAGAGAGAGGGGAAGCTATCATCACGATTGGCTGAAAGTACACACAGCGTTAGTGTGTTTTGGCAATGCTTTTTTTTAAGTGTATAACACATCTTAAAGCACGAAGAATTAGGTCATACTTACAAGTTGTTTTTAATATGGTGATTAAAGTAGTCATGGAATCAGTATTTGCTTGAAGATTGTCCTGGCAGTCCTTATTCTTTCCATTAAAAAACAAACAAACAACACAACACAGTCACCATAGACAGGAACCCCATTAGAAATGGTCTCTGTCTCCTCTTTTGCTAATTGCTGTCACCCACTCACTTATCAGTTTTAAAGTCCACTATCAGAAAAAATGTTAGAGTGTATTAAGCTTCTGTGGCAAGTGAGATGAGACAAATGCTTCAAAACATATCAGAGCGCTGCCTGAGTTGATCCAGCTCGCTCCCTTTATAGCCGCTCACCTTCAACAGTGTGTGGCTCTAATGGTTTCTCCAGCAGCATAAAATGGCTCCAGCACTGATATCACCGATCCTCCTCACTCCTCCTCACTGGCCCTCAGCACAGAGAGGAGGTCATTAAACCTTCTCATGTGAACTTGCGTATGCTGAAACACACAGTGATATACAGTCGACGTGGAGTTCACTGGAGTTTTGTTTCTCTCCACCAGATCAATTGAGGTCCAACATCCACTGTCCTTTTAGCCGTGCTCTGGTTTCCACCAACTCCTGAGGAAAACAACTTTCATTGTACTCTTGAACTTTTTTCTGTCTGACACTTGGTGTGGTGGATTTATCAGAGGAAATTTGCTGAAAATTGCTTCCTGCTGCATGTGGAACGATGGCTGATGAGAGTGGAGTCGGGGAGGCCTGAAAACCAAAACAATGATCTAAAATAAATCAAACCATGCTCTGTAGATCTGTTAAGAACTGCCCAGTCAGGCGGTAATTCTCTGTGGGACCATTTGATGGTGCAGCTTTAAGTCTACCGCCCTGCTGCTTCTTTTGTCTCTTGATGTTTTAGTTTAGTCTTGTAACACTTACTGTATATGGGTGAGTTCACAGCAGGGGACACCACTATTTAGTCTTTAATAGCTGTTGCAGTAATTACAGTTGGCATTTCCCTCTAGGGAGCAGATCGGCACAGAAAGCCTGACATTATACCACACATGTACAGAGTACATACGTATTCACAGAGTGCCACTGTAAATTAACTCAGTGAGATGTGTCATTAAGTGTCATTAAGATCAGGTTACACAGTGTGAAACTCACTCATTAGATATGAAAATGAAAGACACTGTCATCCACTTTTAGTTTTTATCTCCTGTCTCTCTTTTGCTCTCAATCAATCCCTGTTCCTCTTTCCTAATATTACCATCGGCCCCGTGGCCCTCAGCGACCATAACACTCTCTCCTCCATCTCACTGAGTCTGTGTGATGATTTCTCATCTGAGCTGTTATGATGGAGATAACGGCTGCTGTCTCCTCTCCTGGATTCATCGCTCTAGTTAATGTGCTCTGAGTCTTGTTATATCCAATTATCCAACATAGGCAATGGCCTATTTCTCCATACAAACTTTCTCTAATCGTGAATACATTGGTGAAAGTGGAATTTAATGGGTTTTATGCAAGGTGGAAATATTTCAACCTATTTCAGGCTCATTGAGGATCAACAACAGTGGGTGAACCAGCACAAAAAGGTTTAATTTAAATTATGTAACATGTTATTTTACATCCTACAAATTATAGCATAAGTAGTTTGTAATTATGGTGCACTTATAACAGTTATAATAATAATGATATAAAATAATTATAAATAATTACGGCGTGCAATAAAGGGTTTAGAGGGGATGCAAAGTCATGTAATAAAAGGGCAACAACTTGTAAATTACTACTTTTTGAAATACAGGACACTTACAAAATAATTACAGGGTAGTTATGTTGTTATGAGAAAACACAAAAAATGATATAAGTTAACTTAACTTAAACTCACTATATACTTGTAGGAAAACAAAACAAAAGGTGTTGCTAGCCTATTAGATGGGCTAATTACATGTGTAGATTCAAAGGCGTACCACATTATATTCTTTGAATCAACCACAACTATGTTTCTGTGCCTTGTAGTTGTTTTTACAGTATACGCTAAGTCAAAAAAAAGTTACATAAATATTCATGTATTCCTGATAAATACACAATAGGTTATATTAAGACTTGTTGTTTTGTTCTATGAAAACAATATCCTATAATTATTTAATATGTGCCCCATAATTACAAAATGCTCACACTGTAATTTGTGGGCTGTAATCTGAAGTGTTAGTGTGAACTCCAGTCCCAGATTATTTATGACAGTGATAAAACTGGGCTAATTCGTCTTGCGGCCTGTGTGTCTGACACACATTTATTGGGCTCTAATTGGACAAGATTTCCAGAAGTCTGTGTGAACTGTCTTCCTCAGTTCAAGTTCTAGTTTAGGAAATGATGCTGTGACCTTTACAATGATGAACAATCATTCTTGTATAATCTAATAATGCTGTCTCTCAGTTAAAATGAACAAAAACCCCTGAAAGCATCAGCAATCCGACAATCCGTAATATGGCAATGAGTTTTGTGCATTAAGGAAATCTGTGGAAAATGAAGCTAGACACCTCTGGGGCTTTCAGTAATGATCATGGCTGAGTGTACACACATACACACTCTCTCTCTCTCTCACACACACACACACACACACACACACACACACACACACACACACACACACACACACACACACACACACACACAGCACTTCTGTTTAGGTGTTGGAGATGGAAGATTAGCCACTCCGGTTGACAGCTCCACAGGCGTATACCTGTCTCGTTTAAAAAGGTGCAGGGTGATTTACAAGGGAATGTGCGGCCAGTAAACCAGGCAGATGCCAGCAGCCCGCTGCAGCCAGGGCCTTGACGGAAAGTGGGTTATATATACGGAAGCATCCCATGGCGAGGACAGTGGTATTTTTTCCACTGCTGCCAGGGTTATTTTAATGAGATCGGACCTTTTTTCATAAACGGAAGAGACAATGGAGCTGGTGCCATTTCCATCCTTGTCTGGCATGTCTGGCATGCTGCAGTCAGGCACTGTGAATATGATGGAGAGGCCGGGGCACAGATCGGATGTCCTGCCCTGAATAAGAAGTCTGAAATCCAAGGGATAATACAGAATACTGATGACTATCGATCTTCCTCTTGTTTTCATCTCGCTATTGTTCTCTCTCAATAACCCTTTCTATTTTCTCTTCTGTACATCTCCTCTATCCCTATCTCTTACATGTTTCCATTCACTCAATCATCAGCCCATTTCTTACTTTGTCTGCCTCTCCTTTTGTCTTTCCACCAGGCCTACCCTCTCAGCTCTCTAGCAAAGAAGCAACCAACAGTCCTGGTGATCTGTGGTCCAGATCAAAATGGCTCCATTGGGCTGGTGTGTGCCAGACACCTGCGCATATTTGTAAGTAAACTACTATACAAAGTGCATTAGTGTAGCCAATAATACAGTGCATGAAAGCAAGGCTTCGGCAGAGTAAATCCCTACTACATTCAACAACACAACAATGATTCATTGTAAAGAGTCTTGTGCTGACATGATATCACAATCGAAGAAACAATCTTAGCTTAGGTCAGCACTAACAGGGGATCCCCTATACAGGCCTTCTGCGCTTTAAAGAATTTCATTTCAGCTGCTGTAAAAGGCTCAGAGCAGTTATCCTATTACCCTCTCTGCAAGGGCACTCAGACAGCCATGATATCATGCTATTGTTACTCTCATTAAAGCTGTCTGTGTCTTACGCTCAGCAGCCACGATATGATGTCATGACCATGATGTCTGCCTTTCAGGCCACATACTAACTGACAATTCAAGACAAATTGTTATTTTGCAAGCAGGACTCATGCTATCCAAACACATCACCGCTCATGACAGGAGCTGAAAGACTATCTTTTTTACACAGCGCAGTTTATTTAAATGCATGGTGCTATAGTCTATGACTGCCCCAGTCTATGACTTTATTGGAAGGGAAACAGTGAATATGTGTTTTTGGGATCTTTAGAAAGGAATGCATCTATACACTTTACCATATGTGTCTGACATGCTAGATTTACAGAGCATTGATAGTTCTGATTAAAACCATGTTAGACAGACTTTGTTTAAGCAGGCTGATGGTTCTCTGTGGAGTCTATCGCTCCCCTCTCGCCTCCCACTCCTTCTTTTTTTCATCTTAAGGCCAAGGACAGGGTCAGAGGTCAGCTCTGAGGGAGATATATTTTACCTTGGTATTCCAGAAATGAATAAGGAGCTTCTCTAAAACTTAACCTGAAAAAACTTTGAACAGTTGGACATTGATTCCCTCTTCTTTTTTTTATGTATCTTTTATGTGTTTTGTCTGCTATTTTATCTCTTTTGCTTTGTTTCTAATGATTTTACCTTCTGCATCTGTCATTTCTTGTGTATTTTTGAAATGTACTATAAATAAAATTTTATTATCATGAAGTGACTGCACATTACAGTAGGCCGATTGGGACCACACTTGTACGAGTTTGCTCTAACTTCAGAAACCTGAGTACTTACTTTGGACTGTGAGTCTGGTGTAAGAATGTATGTTTTTCATGGTGCAATGTGATCCCTGTCAGCATGAGGACATGCACGCATACATGTGAGACACAAACATTAACACACACATACATGCACGTACATGCACACGTACGCTCGCACAGCCATGAGCCCCTGATGCAGAGCTGCGAATGTGATTAGACAGAGCATAGAAATGAATGATCAGCTGCAGGCGAACAGGTCAACTTGCTCCTCACGTCACTACAAGATGTCCGTGTTCACAAAATCAGGTTGTGTCTGAGTCTGTCGTGCATCTTTGATTATTTCCACGGCTAGGTATACGGAAAAATATAATGGTGCATACCAGAAGACACAGGTATTCTTTGATCAAAGCTCATGTTGGATGAAAAAAACAAGCACTCTGCACATTAGTTCCAGTGTGTTGTTCATATGACTGTAAAACAAGTGGACATGATGTTATTTTATTAGGACATGTGCTCTATATACAGTCACTGCATGGAAACTTCACATTTCTGATGCTAGTCACGTTATAACTGGCATGAACCAACTCCCACTATTCTTTATTATTCACCTTAACAGCTTTATTCCTGTATGTGATTCAAATTTGAAACAGTCTGAAAAACACTGGTTTTAATGGATGTAAAAATGTTACCTGTTGAAACTTAAACTTTTTCATCGGTTAAAGACTTTATTGTGCTGCAGACCTCATCCCTTTACTCCTAATGGGCTGTGTATAAAAGCACAGAATACTACAAGACACCATCAGCCAAGGTGAGGATGTGTAACCCTGTTAGAGGTGAGCACGAACTGGAAAAGCCCTGTCTGTACCCTCTGCTTGTTTGTATCTCACTGCTCATCTCTGTTCATGCTCTATGACACTGACAGTCATTGTGAGCTCTTTCTTAGTTACACACTGTTTGATTGTGTAACAGCTTCTCGGGTCAAGGACAAACTCCGAGGGACACACACACACACACACACACACACACACACACACACACACAGTAGATTGTATTTGGCTCTCTGCTCCGCGGAGATCATGATGGAGATGACGTCAGGTGATTGGTGGCTGTGGTGGTTTGATTGGTTCAGGATCCCCAAGGAGGCAGCGCTCTGTCTGACATGACAGATGACTTCCTTTGTAGGGCACCTCCTAGCTAACTCACATTTGAAGGAGCAGTCTCTATTTATTTATTTCTTTACGTGATATCTGTGAAATAGTCATTTGACTTAAGCAGCTAAAGATTCGTGTGGATTCACTGGCCAGATGTTAAGACACAATATGCAATCCATATTGAATTGGCTTACTATACTATGACTTTTTCATGGGACAGCACTGTAGCACAGTAGTTAGAGCCTTCGCCTCACAGTGAGAAGGTTCGTTTCTCGGGCCTGGGGCCTTTCTGTGTAGAGTTTGCATGTTATCCCTGTGCCTGAAAGGGTTATTTCCAGTTACTCTGGCATCCTCTCATAGTCCAAAGATATGCACATATGTTAATTGGTGACTCTTATTGCCTTGCTGTTCTATGACTTTTTTATGCCTTACTATTGCTTTTTATGCCTTACTATACTATGACATTTTTATGCCTTACTATGACATTTTATGCCTTACTGAATTATGACATTTCTATGCCTTACTATACTATGAATTTGTTATGGCTTACTATGTTATAACTTTTCGTATGGGGCAACAGAGGGGGAGCAAGGGTTAGAATAGTCGCCTGACAGTGACAAGGTTCTGGGTTTGAACCCAGGGCATGCCTTACTTTACTATAACATTTTTATGCCTTACGATACTATGACTATGACTATGAAAATGTAAAAAAGTCATAGTATATTAAAAACGTCAAAAAACGTCATAGTGTAGTAAGGTATAAAACGTCATGGTATAGTAAGGCATAAAACGTCATGGTATAGTTAGGGATAACTAACTAAAAATGTTAAATGTCATAGTATAGTATGGCATGAAAAAAATCAAAAAACGTCATACTAAAGGAAGACAATATGTCATGGTAAAGTAAAGCCTAAAAAGTGTATTTTAGTTGCCAATTAACCTAATGTGCATGTCTTTCAACTGAAACAAGAAAAACATGAATACTCAATAATCATTACTCAAGACATCAAAGCTGGGATTTAAACCCATAACTTTCTAGTAGTATAGTAAGGGAAAAAAGTCAAAGAACCTCACAGTATAAGAAGGCATAAAAACATCAAAAAACATCATAGTATAACAAGGCATGAAATGTCAAAAAACGTCATGGTATAGCAAGGCATAAAAACGTCAAAAAACATCATAGTATAGCAAGGCATGAAACGTCATGGAAGTCGTTATGAAAGTCATAGTATAGTACGGCATAAAAAGGTCAAAAAATGTCATAGTATAGCATTGCATAAAAATGTCAAAAAAAGTCATACTATATTGAGGCATAAAAAGCTCAAAAAACGTCATGGTATAGCAAGGCATAAAATGTCATAATACAGTAAGGGATAAAAATGACAAAAAACCTCACTGTATAGGAAGGCATAAAAATGTCATTAAAATTTCATAGTATAGCACGGCATAAAAACATAAAAGAACATCATAGTATAATAAGGCATAAAAAGGTCAAAAAACATCATAGAATAGCAGGACATAAAAACGTAAAAAAAAGGTCATACTATAATAAGGCTTAAAAATGTCAAAAAACATCATAGTATAATAAGGCATAAAACGTCCAAAAACGTAATAGTATATTAAAGCATAAAAACGTCAAAAAACCTTATAGTATAGCAAGGAATAAAACGTCATAGTATAGCATGGCATGAAAATATCAAAAAAAGTCATAGTATATTAAGGCATAAAAATGTCAAAAAACGTCATAGTATAGCACGACATAAAAACGTAAAAGAACATCATAGTATAATGAGGCTTAAAAAAGTGACAAAAAACATCATAGTATAATAAGGCATAAAACGTCAAAAAACGTCATAGGATATTAGTGCATAAAAACGTCAAAAAATGTCATAGTAAAGAAAGGCATAAAACGTCATAGTATAATGAGGCTTAAAAATGTCAAAAAACATCATAGTACAATGAGGCATAAAAATGTCAAAAAACGTCATAGTATATTAAAGCATAAAAACTTAAAAAAATGTAATAGTATAGCAAGGCATAAAACGTCATAGTATATTAAAGCATAAAAACTTAAAAAAATGTAATAGTATAGCAAGGCATAAAATGTCATATTACAATAAGGGATAAAAATGTCAAAAAAACGTCATAGTATATTAGAGCATAAAAACATCAAAAAACCTCATAGTATAGCAAGGCATAAAACGTCATAGTATAGCATGGCATGAAAATGTCAAAAAAAGTCATAATATATTAGAGCATATAAAACGTCAAAAAACCTCATAGTATAGCAAGGCATAAAATGTCATATTACAATAAGGGATAAAAATGTAAAAAAAAATTCATAGTATATTAGAGCATAAAAACGTCAAAAAACCTCATAGTATAGCAAGGCATAAAACGTCATAGTATAGCATGGCATGAAAATGTCAAAAAAAGTCATAATATATTAGAGCGTAAAAACGTCAAAAAACATCATAGTATAGCAAGGCATAAAATGTCATAGTATAGCAAGGCATAAAACGTCACAGTATAATGAGGCTTAAAAATGTCAAAAAACATCATAGTACAATGAGGCATAAAAATGTCAAAAAACGTCATAGTATATTAAAGCATAAAAACTTAAAAAAATGTAATAGTATAGCAAGGCATAAAACGTCATATTATAGCATGGCATGAAAATGTCAAAAAAAGTCATAGTATATTAAAGCATACAAAACTCAAAAAATGTCATAGTATAGCAAGGCATAAAATGTCATATTACAATAAG